ACTTTGCGGTTGCCTTCAAATTCGCCTTTGTCATTTATGGCCATAGTTCTTTCGCTAGTACATCCCTTCGTAGTAAAAGGCGACCAGAAGTTGTGGATTTGTTGCGAAACTTATTAGTGATATTTCGGGTGTTGGTGGTTCGTCACCACAACAAGACACATGAGCGAAAGTAAGTGGGTTGGTGTAAAAACACCTTGGACTAATTGAAGCCAATTTTTATTGGGCGGTGTATGCATATTGGAATAATTAGGGGTCGGTTGCTACACAACGTCTGTAATGGCGTCAATGACCTGGCGAGAGACATTCTACTCAAATTTTAGTTGATTTATTTCTCGTTGCACTAATTTTCTTGTACGTTAATTCTCTTTGAATCTATTTTAGCTATCGTATCTGCCCACTCATGTAATTCGAGATTAACTTTAAGACAGCTCGAATCGTTCATCATTTTCTCTTACTTCAATTTGATAACAAAACTCGTTCAAATATTTTGACCTGCACTTAAAAACCTATATTTTCATTTGTTTCCTCTCGCATGTCTATTTCTTTCATTTAGTATGTATCCATGCAAGACATAAAAGGGGATCTTCTTTTTATTAGCCACAACGTGTCATAATTCTTTCCAGAATTGTAGTGATTTTTTAAACAATGTTTAGGGTCTAGCCAAACTGTAAGTATTCTGTTGAGGCTTATCGTGTCTTTGACACAACTAACTTTTGCATGAGGCATTGTATCCAGTACAAAAAAGAAAAACTGACACGCATTTAATCAATATTTAATATGTCACGAATCTCAACTTGCTTCTTTATACCTTCTTAAGAAGCAAGATGATAACTAAGCCCCTTCACCCCCCGCACGAAGAATTAGAGGAATAAGAATAAAATGTCTCGTGAGTATAAATCACGAAAGTTGCATCGCACGGATGTCGTGATGAATCTGGCTATTCGCAAGGGTAAACATTAAAAGTATGTTTCTTGTTGTATCAAGGCCTCTCCCGAACATTTGGATTTCATAATTAGCAAGCAGGAAATCCTCTTTAACGACATAAACGCGACCAAATGTTCTGCTCCTGCTTATGTTGCTTCGGCAGCTGCTAAACCTCAAGATTACAACCTTAAATATGTTACTCAACAGACTACCATGCCTATCATTGCAACCACCCTACGTATTTTTGGCAGCGTGCCAAGATGTAAAACCGCGTATTTCCTTTATTCTTTAAGCCCATCAATTTAATTAAATTTCTTTTTGAAATATCTTCGAAAGTCGAAGGCCTTTTGACTAAATTTAGCCCGATTGATGACGTCAAATTTTGACCTGTCGGTGGAAACTTTTTGAGACCATCACTGTCAAGACTGTCGACGGCCGTATCACTGATAAAACAGTCTTGTTTTGAGCTGGTAGAATTACAGGATCCTGATTAGCCCCAGGTGGTCCTTTTATCACTTGCCCCGATGCCGCAACTGCCCCGTTGAGAGAGACAGCGCTGTTCCGATTCATTTATAGCAGCAAGTTTGTATTTTTTTCTTCCTTATCGCCGGACAGCATCTTTGCGGCTACCATAATGGAGAAAGTCACTCGCTAAAAAAAACACTGTCTGTGTTCACCTGATTTTGTTTTTGTTTTTGTTCTTTTTATCACTTTCCGTGATATAATTCATGCTGACCTTGTTTCTATCAAGAAAAGGTCTGGATTCCCAGGGTTTTAATTGCTGCATTTCTATTTATATTGCTCTTAAGATGACTTAAGAATGACTTAAGATTAACCAGCAAAATCCAGAAAAATTAAAATATTCGAAGTACTCTCGAGTTTAGGCTTTGATTATGACCAGACAAATGAGAATAAATTGTGGTATATAGGCGGTGACATTAAGGGTCATTGAGGTTTAGCTCATCTTGGAATATTGTATTATTTATAAAACCCACACCATCCATTATTAGTTTCCTCTTTATATCTAGTGTTCATGCAATTTGTACAACTTTAAGAAGTTGTAGCACAAGAGAAGCAAGTTGTTTCATTTGTATCACCCATGAGGCAATAGCCCCAGTGCAGCTTTCAAATTCGATGTAGAATCATTTATTTCTCAGGTGAGAACTTTTTTTGTACATCATAATGTAATGATAACAATCAACATCTTTTCTCCTCAAAATCATTGTGGTTGTTTTTTGCTTTCTAAAACCAAAACAAAAATAAAGATTAAAATTAATCTCGGAAAGTCCAGTGAGAGGAAAGAGGCGTCGAGCGTAAAGATATTAATCTGCAAATCTTTGTGAGATCAGTCGTAACATCCGAAAATTATACATTCATCACAACCGTTTTTTTTTTCTTTTCTTCATGGCACTCTTTCTCCATTATTTACAAGACCGTCGACTGCCCGCCAAAAGGACGTTACTGTCATTGACAATACATACAATGTAGTGTTACGACTTTCTTTCGGGCAGCCGACGAAATATATCCCACAGTTCCGATTTGAAACCAAATAAAATGTAGATTTAGATCAATAAATAGGTTTTAAAAGTCTGTTCTGGTACCCTCAATAGACAAGTGACGTGGCGACCTCAATATATTGTCTAAACATTCGAAAGTTTGATGTAAGCATACGAAGAAATACAAAGTTTTGGGCTTTTCCTAGTTTCGGATCTAGGTTAGATATAAAGATTTGAACTAAATTTAGATCCCGTTAACTTCAGAATGAACTATATAGGTCATCTTTCTATATCAGGTCAGGAGGACTGTGATTGAACTTTCATTCACGTATATTGGCGCAAAAAGTGTTATATTTCATTCATTCGGCGCATGGGAATCGGTAAAATGGCTTAGAACGAAATGAAATGAAATGGCCGTTAAACCAATCATGTTACTGACTGAAACATTTACAATTCTTTTGTTCTTTCAATGATTTTATCCGATTTTATTTTTACCGTAAGAACTACAGGTTTCAAAGACAAGATATTTTTCTTTTAAATCATGTATAGCTGAAATAACCATTTACCATACACCTGGCAGAAAGCAGTATTGGACCGACTTTCCCAATGTCATTTTGATGAAAGAAATGTTGAAACATTTTTTGTTCATAGAAAATCAACTAATAATTATTATGATTATTTCACACAGTACCGCAGAAGCTGAATGTTAACTGTTCAGTGAGGCAATGCGATATCTATGACTTATTTTGACATTAATCCCTCAGACATTCTGGAGTTATGATTAAAACCGGGGAAAATCCTGCCCCCCCCCAAAAAAAAAAGTAATAATAACGAGATTTATGAGGTCAAATATACCACTACGGTTATCAATCTACCTACTTAAAAAGAGCAATTCTTTTAATTTTGAAAGACATTCCTCTCGTCGCTGCAGTCTCTTAGATTATTCTTCATAATTCACCTGTTATCAGTCTTGTCTTGCCGGGCTCTTCGCACGAGACGAGTCTCGTTTACCCCCTCCCCCAACTTTCTAACTCCAATACTTGGTCGAAACAAAAGAAAGGAAGCGAAGTTGACCGTTGGGAACAGGAGTGACCTAAGGAAGGAAAGTGTGTCATCAAAAATTACTTATATAATATACGAGATTCTATGACGTCAAAAGATGATAAATATGGTAGTCCATAACGCTGGCCAGAATGACCTGTGATTGTGGTCAATATTTTTTGCGGTTTTAGGCCAAGGTAAGCCTTCAGAGGGATTCAGCTTCTTTCTTTGTAGAGAAGAAATAACGAGATAATATTGTGGGATTTGTTATTTTTGGAACGTGAAGACTGACGTGAATCTATTGCCGGTGTGAAAATGATTATTGTTTTAACCTTTCGAATTATAACTGGTCATTTATCATTTGTTATATTTTGACGTCATCTTGCATTGTGATGTCATAATGGTGGATCCCCGTGGTATTCAGTGGGTGGCATGGAGGAACTGACTAAAACCGTCGAAGTTCTACTTTAATCTGATCGCCTAATTGTTCCTCTTGACGATCAGTGTAGTATGTCATCGTCATGTTCCTTTCTCCGTCAACCTTTCTTTCCCCGTGACATTTTATTTATTTATTTATTCATTTCTTTCCTTCTTTCCTTCTTTCCTTCTTTCTTTGTTCCTTCTTTCTTTCTTTCTATCGTTTCTTTCTTCATCCCTTTCTTTGTTTCTTCCTTCTTTCTTAACCCTCTTCTCTTTTTTACGCTTCGATTTGGGAGGGTAAAGGGGTGCTCTTATCTGTGCTACTGCTGACGATCATTACCTGATATTTTGAGATTAACTATGATGGGATGATAGTTTTGGTTTCTGATTGTGAGCAACAAGTGGTAGCAGACTGACTGTGATGTAACATCGGCAACTTATAGCAGAGCGCTTGTTTTCGCTGATCGAACATGACTAGTGGTTGATCAGTCAGTCTTACTCATCACCAAAATACTAAGACAGTGGGTTTGTGGGTGGGTGAAGGTTGTTGCAAAATGTACTTCTGATAGAGGATGACACAACCTTGACGTCAGATTCATGGACTTATACATTCTAGATATTAAATAGCTTCCCGCCAGAAAGCCGCGCAGGTTATCTTTTCATAATGCGTGTGCTAATTAACTACTCTTTAGTAAAATTGAGTCCCAAGTTCCACGATTTCCTTTTGGGAAGATTCTTATAATTGGTACTTTCCAGGAGCAAAGTCAGTTTACCACTTCCTATGTACTCGGGTAGTAGCATATTTTCTTTTGATGAGGATTCGGTAGCATAGTTTTCTTGCTGAATAATCAACATCGGCAAACGGAGAGTGGACTTAGTGGAGAAGATGATGACCCACACTGCTGATATTAAACCCAAACTTTCGGTATGACCATAGTTTAAAATCATACACATTCTTCACGAAACTTAAAGGCTTAATCGCAGCTATATCTTGAATTTTTCACTTCATTACTTGATGTTAACAATGTCTCTGTCATGTGAAACTTTAATCTCTTGACTTAACGATACTATGACCTTTCAGTATGTTAACAATGTGCTCTTCTTTACTCTCCCATTCAGATGATTCTTGGTGAGCTACGGGTTCGAACCGATGTCCGCCAGAAGCAGATCCAGCAGGAGAACCGCCCACCCCCATCGGTTGGGCAGCAACCCACCAGCCCCAACAGCAATGGCCAACGGGGATTACACCCCAACCAGGCCCAGCACCAGAGGAGGGCTGGGCCACCACCTGTATCGCAGAAACCCTTGGGGTACGGCGCGATCGGGGCGCTGAATGGGGCTCGAACCGATAGGTCACAGATACCGACCAGCAAACCACAGGTGGATGAGGTAAGTCAAAATACAACTTCTTCATCTTATGATGCTCATTTTGATACAGAGAGTGTGCAATATTTAAAAACGATTATTCAACAATTGGAAACACAATAGCATGATATCCAATAATTTTCTTGTAAATATCAAAATCATAATCCATCCACAAAATTTGTGTTTTCCCTGAAGTAATGATATCATTTTAATATTGATGTACCATCTAGTAGCGTTACATTTTCATCTAAAATGAAATTTATAGATTCCATTAAAATATTGTTCATTGTTGGTTTAATTGATTCGTGCATTTCCGATGCTTTAATATCATACATGTATATGAAATCAGATCAAGTACTTTTGCTTTTCCTTTGTTATTTGTCATTGTTCTGGCAGTTTCTTGTTTGCTATGATTGCATGTATTTCATTTCAGTTTGTATATATTGCTGTGACGCACTTAGATGTCTGTTTGAGAGATATGCTTCTGAACCCACATTGCTTATTCCTATCATTTAAATCGTTTTGTAAAGCTGAACCTGTCACAGCAAAACGTAGAATGGATGCAGAGTTGTAACTCGATAACTTCATTACTCCTCTCATTCCATACCGCATCTTATCACCACTTTGTCTGACTAACATTAAACCAACTATAGTTTCATCATAATGACTAACCATGCTACTCTTGACGACGTACTCTGAACCGTTACAGAAAATAAACAAGTAAGACATACATGTACGAAAGTATTTCATTACCGCGTGTGCCAGCATATTATAACCATAGCTATTTGAGACACATAGTTAGGACACAGGACGTTGCTTCTGATTGGTCAGGCATTCCAGGAACCTACAGAATACATGTAGTTCCCTCTCATAGAGATTGTACTTGGGAGGGAACTATTTGGAGCTCCAAGATCTAACGGACCAATCTCGCGTACGCGTCGATGCGCGTGTCACAACTATCTCTCTTAGCACCCGAGAACACAAGCGGGGCTATGAAGATCAAAAGTTTTAACATCATCCTCATTTAGCCTCACATGCAGCATATACCATATTGTGTGGTGAAATAATTCATATAACATCTCTAGTTCCACACAACTGCCAGGAAACATTGACAATAAGAAACGCGGCTGTTGGAATAGTATAATATCCTAATCATCCTACTAATTATTAACTCCCAAACTAGCTCCTAGATGGCAGTTGGTGGCGATGGAAATACAAAAAGTTGGCAAGCCTGATAAAACTACCAAGCCCCCTAATTCAATGATCTTCGTTTAACCACACCCAACATTATTATGACTAATGAAATGTTTGAATAATTTATATAACTTGTTTGCATAATTCCACTCAAGAGCTAGAAATGTTCGCTACAATAATAAACGGGGCTGTTGGAGCATGAACAGAAGAAGTTGTCCCAACTCTGAAACACCCTCGTGAATTCGCAAACTACTGATCATCTAGATAATAATTAGCTGCTATTGCACTGCGGATAGTTCCAAAGCTAATGAGCATATATATTGCCATACTAGATAGTTGCCTTACAAAAGCTTTAACACACGAAAGGAAAGAAGAACGAAAGAAGAAAAGAAAAAACCTGCAGCGGTGGAAATATAGTAACAATGACGATTTACCGATAAAATATTTGAGTACTATAACATCCAGACAGGAGCAGGGAGACATGTTGGTGAGAGGCATGTTCATTGGCCGAGAAGGAAAGAAGAACCCAGTCTTATACCCAGGGCAATTCAAGGAAAATACATAAATGGAGAGGTGAAAAATTACTTGATTCTATCTTTAAAGCCCCTCTGCACTAGTTTGGCCAGGAGAGATTAGACCTCCCTGCATGGTCACTGACAGTGACAGGTGGTTATCTCATCAAATCAGCTCTCAATTAACATAAAAAAAGGAGACCATGGCGGACCAATGGTCACCGATTAAGCATTGTTGGCTATATAGAGGGCGTAAGTAGCTATAAGTAGTGCAGTGGGGCTTTAAAATGTCCGATGTAGGTTAGTGCACCAGTTTTTGAGCACCATATTTGATTTCAGTTATAAAAATAATCGAACACAAATTAAAACAAAACAAACCGTCAAATGCCACTTTATAGAATTTTAGAGGATATATTGGAATTTAATGATGGTGTGGGCAAGCAGTTTGTTGTTGTTCATTCAAATCATTTTTAGCTATAGTTTAGTTGTTTAGTTTAGTTTAGCTTAGTTGTATTTTGGTCTAAATCCTAAAGGGTTATTTTAATATGGGTTGTATTGTCAACGACTAACCTTTAACCTTTTCTTGTGATGTCAAAAAATGGTATGGTTCGTGTTATTGTTGTGACCGTGATGTCCTGATCAGATAGCGATTCATCCTACCATTTTATTCCAATTTAATCTATAGCACATAATTCTCTCTCAAATTAATGTGTTTCACCATCAGTTCATAAACCTTTCCACATACATTACGTACCCTTCCCTACTATATAATTTTCGTGTGTGAATTCATCCAAAAATAACATCTGCATGGAATGCCATCTAAAACTCAAACATGCATGTTATCATATTCATCTAATATTTTGGGTCTGGTTAGGGTAATATGTTACATTTTGATAAATTGTACTGTAAACATGTATGTTGTATTCGAGATATACGTTTCGGTGCTTACAAAATAATGTCATCTCTCTGTGATACAAAAATGGTACTTTAGGGGGTCAATGATATTTTCAATGTTTTACTATTCGAGAAAACACGCCTGGATAGACTAATGTCAATATTTGATTATTCATGTTTACTCCAATGGTCCAATAAAGAAATTGTATATGAATTATTGATCTTTAGAACAAGTGCAATTTTCCATCTGTGATTGGATAAGTAGGCCTAGTCAATGGGCCCATTTTAATAAAACCTTATACAAAAGAAATATTGGACAAAACAATTACATGCCCTTCTCTTATTACCTTCAGAGGTATAACCAAATACTATTTTACGTGACAACTAATAAATTAGTATAATTGGTCGTATATTTCATAATCAGAATGTTCGATTATGAATAAAGCATTTTGTGTGTACAGGACTTTAGATTGATATCAGATTCTTTACTTAATGTCATCCAAATTAATTGCCATCCCCTTGTAGAGGAAAGGATGACAAAATTCATTTATCCTGAGTGAAGTTTGGTTGAGAAATCGTACAGTCACGTGATAACCGTGTTTTAATCTCTTTGTTTCGATCAGGAAATCATCAACGAGTTGACATACAGCATGCAGGACATCGGAACCGAGGCGTGGTGCAAAGTCTACTTCATGGAGAAACGATGTCGCCTGTCCGACTACCAAATCAAGTCACCCGCCATGATCGTTGATGGATACGCCTTCCAACACCCCGGCAGGTACAAGCCCCCTCCCCCGTCAATTTGTTCCCACCATTTTCCAACCTTATTATGTATTTTTAATAGTATTACCACAGTTAAATTTGACTATTCTCTTAAAAGTTTAACAATCATAAACGGGAACTTTGAGCAAGAAGTCAGTATTAAAAATATATTAGCAAAATAATTTGCAAGAAACGCCATAGTCTAGATATATTAATAGATAGAACGCATATAGAGATTGTAATAATTCCAATCGCAAAATTTAGTATAAGTATTTAATTTACCTACAAAAAGTTTATTCCATGAAGAGAAACTAAAGTTGATTATGTTTCTACTACTAAAGAATATTATTCCTTTTCTCTATTTAGACTTGGATTCGGTGCGCTGGCAAACCCACTACGGGATCCAGAAACCAAGAAGGTACGCGAACACATCGGGAAGGGCGTTCAGTTAGAGATAGATAGCGAAGGAAACGTCTGGGCCACGAGACTAGGCAAAAATGAGGTCTTCGTCAAGGGGTGCTTTGAACCCGAGAACCACTGCATCTCGGCAGAAGTAGTTGCAAGCATGGGACGTCTGCCACGCAACCAAGCTATGAAAGTAAGAATATTTTCGGATTCCGATATGCTTATTCTGATAGACAATCTTAACTTCTCTCCCTTATATTGTGAAGGCAATACTTATATTTCTTGGAGTATACAGGATTATCTTTTGATCCATTTTAATTTTTTTAAATAATTTTAAAGATCCGAATGAACTATACATTTCAAATTCTTCCATTGTTTACTCAAATTATAGTCTTTTTATTTGTGGAAATATTTTCTTGTTCATCAATTAACCAACTTTGTATGAAAGATGAGATTTAATTCAGTACTGGTATTTAGGTCCCCTCTGTATTACCTGAAAGCCATTTTTGCAGTCTACTGAGGTATACATTGTATCTCATTGCATCAAAGATAATTTGTTCTTGTAAGAGATGGAAGTGTGTCAAAGGGACTGTGCACTAATTACCTTTCGAATCAAATTTCCTGGTATTAAGTTGACGCGTAATTTCATTACCGTTCAATGCCTATACATAACCTCAATCATATTGCTTTTTGCTAATATTTCAGCCGGGCTGGGTTTACCGACTTGATGCTTTTCCTGTCGTGTAACGCTCACTTCAAAGTTCTACTTTAAAACTAAATTTGTATGATACAATCATGATGGTAGATGAGATGGAAAATAGACTTGTTTAGTTATTATGTAATGGTTCTTGCCTGATTTCATATACTACAAATGTCTTAAATGGACTTTTAAGCTAATCACCATGATTTTCCCCTTTTTATGCCGACTCACCATTAGGTATTCGACATTGTAGAGTACAAGGCGCAACTCGCTATTGAGGCGAAGAAAGGCAATGGTCAAATCGACCACCATCGACTGAAGAAACTGAGCATCGTTTCTCTAAGCTTCGTCAAAGATAAGGTGGAGGATTTTAACACACCCTGCTGGATTTCCTTGGTTGTCCTCCCCGCCATTAGAATGGACAATCCCAAAGGTGAGATAAGAAAACATAGAGGCAGACTCTTCCATTTTTGTTTTAAGGGGTGATGTACCGGTACACAGTATGCCAGTATCTCCCACCCCCCTCTCTCTCTCCCTCTTCTTTCTCTAACCTGTGTAGATTGTTCACAGTTTAGCCAAATTCTATACGCAAACCCTAATTAAAGATCACATTTTTACTGTAAAAATGATAGGCAATTATTAACTTAATTTTAAGGTATCATACTTTGAGATAATCAAGGTTAGCTTCTATGTTTTGAGTATTCCTGAATTTAACTATCACCAAGCAGTACATTCTAACCGGGGCGTGATACATTTCAATTAACCTCTGACTTACCCAATTAAGCGAAAAATGTGTCATAAATTTCAAGGAATTTCAACCCAATCTATAAATCCACCTTTGCCTGTGCACATTATGTCACTGGCCTCTGTTACCTCTGAAATGTATCGTGATATAAGCTTACCTTCGTGGCTATGTAGCTTACCTTCGTGGTTTGAAGAAGACAAACCCGGAAGCCACATAATTACAGCGCCTCCCAATGGTGAACCGTTATGCTCCCATCCTTTAGGATAGTTCAGACAGCAAGACAAGTATCAATTAGCACCTTTACCTATATGTGGTACTGTTCGGAAGCCAAATTAGCTGCATGATGTAACGAAATGTCCTGCTTCGATTGAGATAATTCTTAAATGTTCCCTCTTTTCATAAACACCTCACCTATTTATCACTCTCGACTTTCTTCTCTAAGTTCTCTTTTCACACTGGTTTTGCTTAACCCCGTACTTTGCTTAGCCCCGTACTATCCTTAACCCCGGACTATTTTTTTGGCTTTTCACACTCGCTGTTTTTAGTCCCGTACTAGCGCCTATTCCGGAATAAGAAAATTCCCGCTGTTCTCACTGCATTTCGTTAACCCCGGATATCGTGTATGTTATGATTGGACATACCTCGCATCTGGCCAGCTGCGATACGCTCCATTGCGTAGTACCGGACTATTTTTCGTTTCTGTTCTCATTCATTTCCTTAGCACCGCAATTGCGGGGTTAGCAGGAGTTAGCACCACAATTGCGGAGTTAGCCCTGCTATTTTGCAGGGTTAGTTAACCCCGTACTATAGGTGGGGTTAGCCAACTTTAGCCCACTTTGGTAAAAACCAGTCTGAACAGAAAGTGGAATAGGCTTAACCCCGTACTATAGGTGGGGCTAAGACCCCCCCTTAACCCCACCTATAGTACGGGGTTAAGCAAAATATTGCCAGTGTGAAAACAGTATAAGTATTCTTTCTTTACCTGCAGTTTTCATAACATCAGTAGTTTTGAACTTAAATATAACCTCATTTTGATGATTTTTCTGTTGATTCTGACTGTAATGTAATGAAAAGTTAATGAATGAATGAAAAAAGGAAAGAAAGAAAAAGTGGGCGAAAATAAGAATACTAGAAGAAGTTATTTCAATCTATGTTATCTCCTGCTATTCTATGAGTGAAACTAATGTAATTATTTGTATTATCCCCGCCCTCCCCCCCCCCTCCAATTTCCATGCAGTACTACGAGATGTTGGTCGGTTCCTGAGAGCCTTCCGTACAGCTGCACAGATCGAGGCAACCCTCATGGGAAGAGAGGTAAATAGCTCATGATGATGATGATGATGATGATGATGCTGATGACGACGATGATGATGATGATGATGATGATGAAAATGGTGGTGATGATGGTGATGATGGTGATGATGGTAATGATGGTGATGATAGTTTTGATGGTAATGATGATGGTAATAACGATTATGGTGATGATTGTTTGGATGGGGATGATAATGGCGATAGTGGTGATGATGATGATGATGATGATGATGATGATGACTGTCAGGATAATGATGATGACGATGCTGAAGGTGATAGTGGTATTGGTATAGTGATGTTGGTGGTGATGATGATAATGACGATGACAATGATGATGATGATGATGATGATAGTGGTAGTGATGTTGCTGCTGATGACGACGACCGCACCGCCAATATTATTGAATTCAACTTATTTCTCATTTGACTTACAGTCAAGTCGAAAGTGGGCTCGAGTCAACAAAAGAAGCTCTAACTTCGACAGGGAAAATAAGACAGACGGGAGGAGAAAGAGGATCGAGGATATGAAACAGGCCAAGATTGATAAGAGACCATTCCACTACAGCTGGGAGGCAGATGATGACGAAGATTTGGGTAAGTTGATGAAGATGAAGATGGTGGTAAGGAGTATGATGATACAAATGATAATGATGATGACGAGAAAGATGAGGATGACAACAATTAAAAAAACACGATAAAACATGACAAAGTAAATAATGACGACAATGATGATTATGATAAGATGACGTAAATGATGATGATGATGATGTAGTGATGACTGGTGAGAACAATGGTGAATGCGAATAAGACGTTGATGACCATGATGTTAATCTAATCTGATGATTGTGACGATAAGGACAGTGATAAAGTTATTGCTAATGACGATGATGATGATGACGATGTAATGATGATGATGGTGAAGAATAAGAAGAAGGAGGAGAAAAAATATCGATACGTCTTCACCTCTAAATAACTTCCAATGACTAAAATCATCACTAATTGTTTCATAACTTTCTCTCCATCGTTCCAGGTCTGTCTAACCTGAGTGTGACTGCGATGGACCGCGATGGCCGCAACTCTGCCTACAGTGACACAGGATCTATCTACTATAACAGCGAGGCAGGGGATTCCCCGGGTTACGGAGGGAGATCAAGTAAGAGGAGATCAGTCTTCAGGGCTGTGTCCATCAGGAATGCCAGTAAGTTTTATATAAATTATTATCAATTTTCTGACATTTTAGTGATATGAAGTGCTGGGAAATAGTTTCATTAGGGAGAGCGCTATAGGCCTATAAATGAAATGATAACATTGTGTTGTATTGTAAGTTTTATTCCTTTATCAGATATTTATAAAAAACAAAGAATTATTTCACACCTTCTCTCACCTTTGTTGATACATTATGGATCTACTTTTTTCTTCAATTTTAAGCTGCTGTTTTCATTTCTATTTTTAGTATGTGAATGTTGATTGTTTGGATATTTACGTGCAGTGAAAAACTAAAAAGCAATGGTTTCGGCCATGATAACTTGAAAGAAAGATTTTTTCCCTATAATCAGCGATGAAAATCACTTCTCTCTTTGAATACATTCTGTTATAGAAACTGTAGAACGCGAATTAATCCTCATTTTATTCACGATTATGAAAAAAATTTGTAACAAGTATAAGCCGCTTTCCTTCGGTTTGATCACCTACCTTATTGCATTTCTGTCATTTTCGCATTCCTTAATTTCTCCAGATGCTTTTCAGCAACGCAACCTCCGTTCCTCGTACGAGCGCAACGGCGAAGCCGTGGATGACGACGGTCCAGTCACGTCCAACTACAGCGGTTACGACTTGGAGAAAAAACGGGAATGGGCCCGTGTCAAACTCATCAAGAAAGAGAGAAGAATAAGCGATGATAATTGAACCTAAACAATTAGTGTTTACAGGTTTAGAGAGTGAGTTTAACCTAGGAGTTAATGACGAGCGACTCTCGTCCTTTTGAGGCCTACTAGGGTTATTGTATGAAGACGTATGAACTATAAACCACTCCAGAAATGTGTGGTTTCGGAAGAAGTCGGATAGGAAATTGAGAAAGAGTACAAGAACGTTGCTCTTTGACTAAGGCATAATGCCAGAGTGGATAACGTCCCGAAGCGACTGCCAATTATTCAGTATTGAATGAGCTTTCGTATTCATACTGAACCCTTTTGCAGTGCTTCTAAAGCAAAGCTAGGGGGCATATAGCTGGCCTAAGCTTAACCTTTGCAAGAAATCTCATCTTTGTAGAACATATTTGCTCTGAATGTTTTATCATTATAGATGTTTGTAAGTTCATAAATAAGTGTAAGTCTGCATATAATTAAGTTTATTTCCGCCCAAAGTTAATGACCAATAACAATGTTTAACATGTTTTACTCTTCAAAAAAAAAGATGTACTATTATCTAATGTTTTGGTAAACAGATTTTTAAAATGTTTATTTTAAAGAAAGGATGAAAACTAAATAGAATATCCTTTATGAGACATATACTTGCCCTTTACATGTACACTGTTTTTAATATGGTGTATATTACACAGTAAATAAGCAAAGAGTAAGAAAATTGAGACTGTTTACTTTTCCAGAAATTTCACATCAATTGTTTTATTGGTGAACACTTCTGCAGTAATACTGAATATAGAACGTACATTGAGAAATTCCATTAATCACAAAAAATACGTTATGAATTATGTGCTCTTACTACTTACAAAAATAGATATTGTTTAGACCAGATAAACAACACACTTTTACTTGATTACATTTCGATTGAGGGCACTATCGACAAAACTTGTATTACTTCATGCACCGTTTAAAATCACACCATATTGCAGGTCATATTACATATGGTAACAAGTCAAAATGGTATTGGCTAATGCTGGGTCAAAATGGTACAATTTTGATAGCAGAATCGTCCGCCAGAGATATTTTGGCTATAAAATTATATCTCCAAAATACCATCTAGACTCAGCATTACATTTTCACCAAATTTTGAGTGAAAAACACCATTGCATAGGGGACATTTAAAGAGCAAACCAACTGATCAAATATCAAGGCAGTCACAAATTTGACTAATATATGACATCCATAACCAAATGAAATTTCTTTATGTAAGAACACATTTCATCAAATGAGAAGACCATTAGAAGGGTATGGCTTCCATATATTAAATCCACAATCTCCAAATATCATATGTATGTATATGTCTATATATATATATATATATATATATATATATATATATATACTCTTTATAAACAAAGAAGGTGATATAATTCTCAGCTGAAAGAAGATTAAAATATATATTCTTCGAAATTAAAATTTGGCTGAATCAACTTATAGACGTGACTTTGAATATATCTCAATATACTTTATCAAATTCAATTTCAGTCATAAGAAAGGTATCTATTTTTTTAATTAATCAGCATTTGTCATTTTGCAGCACTTTTCGATGCTTCAAGTTTCCATGTAAACTAAAAAAGGCAGCTTGCAGAAATCATTTTTCATAATACTTCTTTCTTGACTCAAAATTATATATGTTCAGTAGCAAAATGCAACATGCATGAAGACTGAACTATCAATTTAACATTTCCAGTTGCCATGGTATAAATCACTTCATGCAACACATATGCATGGTATTATACAAATTTAAAATGAATATATAATAAACCAGGCAAGATAGTGTAATATCATAATTAGTGATGATCAGAAAACATAAATCAGTGATGCATGAAATCCATTGAGAGGAATTTAATTTTCATTCATAAATGGGTTTCAACCAGAATCATCTCGGGTGTTCAGTTACATTAATATTCAACATGTTAACGAAACCTCAGTGCATGCACATCATATGTTTCTACATGTAGCTTTTAAAATATAAGCTGCTATTTGTAATTTTAATTTGGTACTGCAAGTAATACCAAACCTGATGATAAATCACACATTATAAGTACAAAGTGTCAGAAGTAGATTTGCTTAAAGGTGATACTTGGTGAATATACAAAGTCATGATTCTTTATTCTCTTACCTAGTTTTAATGATGCCAACTTTTTAGAGGCTGGTTACACCCTCTGCAGTCACGACTGGCCAATCACATTCTTGTTCTAATTTGAATGAAGTGCATTGACCAATCAGATGATTGCTTTGTAGGTGGGCCTTCATTAGTGACATCACCGTCAGATATTTGTTCTCATCCTAAATTTTATGTCGATATCCAGTTCATTTTATCTTAGAAGAGGATGTTAAGTTTTAATAGAAGCCTAAATTGAATACTCTATTATCTAGATAATCCATTTGTATATATGAAATTAAATGATGGTTTCAGTATAGGGACATATGATCCGAAGCAGAATGAATATGCAATGATATGCCTATTATGTATGCAAAGTGATGTTCTATTCTTAGAAAGACAAAAAACAACATGTAATCATATAATAGTAATTTTATGATGAACAAATTGTATTATAACAAAAAAATTGTGAATTTTTGACAGAGAGAATGTATATGTTTGTTTGAACTATTGACAGTACTATAAGATCTGGGATTTTGATATGTACAAATGTTTATTAAAAGGGAAAAGCAAATACTTTAGTGACATGTAAATATAATAGGACAGTATTTAGTTACCGTAGATTATATATATATATATATACAAGGTATTATCAATTATAGTTGTAGATCATGCAAAGACATAATTTGTAGGTGATATATATCTGATGATAGTTGGATATTTATCAATGTTTCTTTAGCAATTTATTTTGGTGCGCATTTAATGAATGGGTGAACTTTACATATACAATGTGTTAATTTTAAGAACTTAACACCATCATTCATTGTACATATATTTCAAGGAGTGTTATATTTTCTAATTTAAGAGAGAGAGAAAAGGGCGTTTTTTGACAAGCTTTAAGTAGCTGGAGATCAGGCCATAGGAAATTTACATGATAGAGTCTTCAGGTAGACAATGTCTATTAAAGAAAGCTTATTTGAGTATAAGAAATTCCTGAAGTTTTGCAAATTATATTACGCATCATATCTAAAGACTAGCGGCAAGTACACATAGATAGCATCTCAAATAACAGATAATGAAATAGATGATATTCTTATTTTGTACACAATGAAATAATGGAATAAATATTTTGATAAACAAATTGGAAAGCATTAATTCCTTGATTCACAATGTTATAAGGGTTACTGATGTGATGCAAGATGAAATTTACTGAGGGAACAATGAGGAAATGGATTAAAATACTCGCTGGATGGATAGAGAGAGAGAGAAAGAGAGAGAGAAATAGATAGGCAGAAATGATGGAGAATGACAGACTGAGCGGGAAAGGAAGAGAAGACAGGGAAAGAAAGAAAAGGAGAGAGAGAGAGAGAAGCATGAGGAAGAGAGAGAGAGAAGCATGAGGGAGAGGGAGAGAAGGCAGGGAAAGAAAGGAGAGAGAGAGAGAGAGAGAGAGAGAGAGAAGCAGATAGGCAGAGAAGCGTGAGGGAGAGTGACAGACTGAGCAGAAAAGGAAGAGAAGGCAGGGAAAGCAAGAAGAGGAAAGAGAGAGAGAGATGGAGGGACAAAGAAAGAGGAGAAAGGAAGAGGTATTGGAAAGAAAATGAAAGAAGGCAAGAGGAAAGGAGAGAAAATAAAACAAAGGAGATAAAGAAAAGAAATAGAAATAGAAATAGAAAGAGAGAGAGAGAGAGAAAAAAAATGGGGAGATTATAAGCAGAGTAACAGATACAGGTACATGTCAGGTTGGACAGGAAGAAGTGAATCTCTTCAATCAGTAAATAGATAATTAAGCACTTCCTACATCTCCTTACATACAGAAATGCTATTTCTGATGCGTTTATTAGCATAAAAATACACAATCAAGCACATGTAGGCGAAAAATATAATTTTAAATTTGGTTTAAAAATTGCCATAAAATGCAACTAAACATCAGCTGAAAACAAGTAATAATGGCAGAAGAGATAAAGGTTGATTTTAAGTTAACATAATCGCAAGTTATATATCTGATTACAATCGATACACACATGTTTCAATCTTATATTTTGTCTTATTACATGTAATGCATGCACATGTACCTCAAATAGATTTTTTAAAACCCTCCCATGCTAAAGTGTTTGAACAGGTGTGATAAGTGCTATTTTAAGAGTTGGGTTGTAAATTATTTATAAAACACCTTACATAAAACGGTGGTTCTTTTTCCTTTTCAGAAAGAAAAATCTAGATAATCTTAGTCCAAATGGATTGTTAAAAACTACCATTTCTAGGGCAGAATTTCCAACCATAGCATGGAAGCGGTGACCATTTGATACAAAATTTACCAAAAGAGCAAACAATCAACTGCAAAAAAAAACATAATGATTCTGACGGATGTTTCACAAGTTATCAAATGGAAATTTGAGAATGGTCGACAGCATAATACAAACATTGCACAATTATCAAAAATGATTTCCCAAATCTTTTCCTATTCATACAGAAATGATCAAAAACATCAACGAGAGTAATGGTCAGATCAAGCCAATTAGTTCTCTCAATTCAATGCAGGGTTCAACATTAAATGCTCCTTTAAGTTCTGAGCCTGAAAGACCTCACATTTTAACAATGAAGGAACATATAGCAAGACTCACCATTTATTTTACAGTAATCTTGCAATAAAAGTTAATGCTAAGAGCTATCACACAAGAAAAAGAAAACAAAAAGATCCTTGCAAATGATTATTTTTATATTTTGAGTCACATACTCCCAATGACCCTCCATAATAAATGGTATTAATGCAGCATCATTAAGGGTGGCAGGATTAAGGAAGTCAACACAAAAGACACATCAAGTTGCCCGTTCATGCTCTCACATATACATATTCAACATCATATTCAGATTTTTACAAATAATTACCAGTATGTATTATGAAACAGATGGTCATTGATATTGACTAATAATCCAGCAATATTGATGGTTAAAATATAGGCACCTGAAGAAAAAAAATAGTTACAAGACCATGCTGACTTTTTTCTTTTACATAGTGCATTCATGCACATAAATTGTACAGTAGATCTTGTTACAGGGCTGCATGTGTGGTGATGCCACTTCGAGATATTAATTTTGGAGGTTCGTGAATCATTAGGAACCTTTTCTGCTAGTCATTAGGTTTCTCTGTTTCATGTAAAAAGCTACATTTTCGAGGTTAAAATACAATGTTCTTTCCTGAATAGCAAATAGGATATACTATCAAAATAGTAATAATGTTAAATTTTCTAAATCGGATGAACACTGAATAAAAGAAGGGTCAACCAGCTGGCTTTTTCTGATTATCCTCATCATACAAATATTTTAAATGCATTTAATGCAAATTTAAATTCTCTTTAAAAAGTTACAATGTTGGCCAATACCAATATAATATGGAGCCAATGTGACAAACTACACATGTTAACTGCACATGCAAATCCATTGAAAGCAGAGTTCACAACTCATCGCCTGGTCATTTGAAATTTGATGACTGTTCGAGCAAGAAAAAATACTATGCGTTTACTGTGAAAAAAACAATTTCATGATAAGATGATAACTGACAATTTCTGGATTATAACTCGACAGCCACTTTTATACCTGGCTTTGATAAGTACCGGTATATGGTTTTGATAATGGGCTAATTGAAGGGAACCTGAATGTCACACGTCCAATGAAAATTAGTTCCTGATCAGTCTTTAATACTGGTAATAATATTACTTTGATCTTCCCTAAGAACACATCAAGAGGGTTGGATTAGCCTGAATAAAAATGTCCTCATGGATAATCAACAGTATGATCATATTTGTTGCAAGATCTCTAGTCAGTATTCAGCACCCTAACCGTTAAAGTGATCTTGAAAGCGGGACTGCACTACCTGTGGCTACTTGCGCCCTCTTCATAGCAAACAATGCCTAAGCGGTACCGTTGATTCCCCATGTCCCCTTCTTCTTAAATCCCTACTGGCCAAACTAGTGCAGATAGGCTTTAAAGCATGGTGGATTCAACAATGCTGCAATATTTTTTTTGTATCTGTTTTGGTACTCTGATTGCTATGTGATGATGAATTATTCAAACATATGTCCAATATGAAGCTCAAGCACAACCAGTTACAAACTTGCATATTTTCAGTATATAAAGTTATTGAAATTCAGTACAACTTTAAATGCCCTCTGTTTTGAGAACTATCTTGATTGGATCACTGATGGATTATCTAAAGAAATATCCAATACATAGGACAATGACAAGAATTAAAAATGACACAGTCCAACCTTGGATGTCCTCCATATTGAATCATCTTTTAGATGTACATACAGGGTTTTCCTTCTGGCGGTGTCGAGTACAGCAGGTTGAAATGAAGTCTGATGAAGATGACCTTTATAGCATTACCAATTCCAAAGGTCACATGGGTCACCTAACTCTGTGGGCCACATCCTTGCCCTTTGTGCCAAGTGTTATCATATGGCCTACCTTAGAAAGGTGAAACCCATATGGGTCACATCTCCATGATTGGGTGAATCATTGATGGTCTTTCTATGGAGGTGCCAATTACATCAGAATGAAATGAAATGAGATACATGCAGGTATATTTAGCACAGGAGGTCCATTTCAGATATCCTTTGTGACGAGTGCTATGGTGTGATCCACTCCACAGGCAATATGGGTCACCTGACCAGGTAGAGAGACCTGAAGGGATGGAAGGAAAGTTTGACAAATTTAAAGAAGGTAACATAATGGAGAGACAGGGTCAGATGAGAATAATTATAGTTAAAGATAGAGATGGGCATGGTGGAAAGAAAGCGAGAAAGAGAGAGAGAGAGAGAGATAGAGAGAGAGAGAGAGAGAGAGAGAGAAGGGGGGGGGGGGGAGAAGAGAAAGTATTAAAGTGATTTCTGAGAACTTAAGATTCATCAACAAAGTGTGTTGTTATAGGTACATTGTATCACACAAGGCAGATTACACAAATACCTATCCACCCCCTCTCTCACATGGTGCAACCACAAGCCTACTGTTTATCTACATCACCATGCAAGCCGATACTTATAAGCAGCATCTAAATACCTACTTGTCGAACATCTTGATAATATCTACACACATGACAGCAAACAACTCTTTAGTTTGAAGAGGGCTATTAGTATTCTACCCTGTACTTGCATCAGACCCCTTTTCCTGTAACCCCAAACTGATCACCCTTTATCTTTTCTGCTGATTTCACGTCATTTCAGTCTTCCTATCTCCAAACAATACAATCATCCATTTGAGAAATGGATCACTTGTCATCTCAAGGAAGACCCCCTCCCTTCCTTTTAATAAGAAGTATAGTTTCTAATAAATGATTGTAAGAGAGCTCCAAGGGGCATGTGACTTACCTTGAGAGGGAAGTACTGGCTATGGAGCTGACCAAGACCTAGACAGCCTGATCCATTAGTGCCCCACGTGTACAGGTCTCCATTATCTAGAAGCAAAAATAAAATCAATCAATCAATCACACCAATGCCTCCCATGAAAACAACTGCACAATTTCCAACAACAGAGTGATTGTTTTGGCTGATAGATTTTGAGACATTTTCATTCTTCATATCATCTAAATGGAGCAACTAGTTTAAGGTCTCTGTGGCTCCAAACGGGTGATATATTAAAGGTAATACAAAGTTTTGGGAAATTTTGAAAATTGGGTGGATAATGATTCTTTACAATTTTGATATATTTGGATGCCCATGTGGATGTATTATAATCACTAAATTTAGCTCCTAAAACACTTCTGCTTTCGGGAAAGGTTGAATATAAAAATTTACCGGTGCTCCTGGTAAATTTTGATAAATTTCAAATAGGCCGCACAATGGTAGCTGCGACCATAAAAATCTCAGAATGTAGTTGTGATATATAATTTCCAAACGGGAATAGCTTATCGGTCGATTTTAGTCAAGAAACATTGTTTTATAGCTTAATTAATATCTTGACCTTGAGAGGGAGCTATACAACATGAAGAGTGTATTATTTACAATTTCATAACTTAAGACTCGATTTCAACCACGTTGACAACCACTGAATATTGTAGGATCTCATATGCTTCCAATATGTTCATTTGAACCAAATTCACGACCCCATACCAAAACTTTGTATTACCTTTAAAGGTGCGTACAA